GGGGGGGGAGGAGTATAAAAAGCAGTCACCTATGGAAAATGTTACATCTTTGTAAGTAAAAGACCAAATGAAGGGTGGCAAGGTACCGCGTTTTTCTGTTTTGTTTTTAGAACAGTCAAATACTGAAGACTTCAAAATATAAATGATTAAACTGCAAAACTGTGGCTTTTATTTCCAAACATACAATAAATAGGTCCACCACAACTAGCCTCTAACTTCATTTTACATGGAAGGATTTTAAAATTAGTTTGTGCATATTTAAAAATCAAACTTCCCTTTGCACATAATTCCATACATAACCAAACTGCATTACATACAGCTTATGGTCTTGGCACTGTGATGCAAGCAACCAATTAGAAACAGAGCTTTGTAGCAAGCACTTGAGTAAAAATTGCATTTTGAATTGTTGATAAAACATCTACCAACAATTTAATCTATTTCTGAAGTATACAAAAAACTTTAGCACATAAATGCTGAAAAGCAAGTTGTCTTCTCTTATGTTTCTGTAGGGGCTGCAAGGTAAGTGGATTTATTAAGTGATCACTATTTGCTACATGATACAATTTTCATACCAAAATATCTTTACTGCATAGTAACATTCTGTATTTTCAAACGCAAAAAGAAATTAGATGCAGTCTTTTTATTTTATTCCTCATCACTGAATTTAAAGACATTTTTAACCACAACTCTGCTTCATCACAGTGCAGAAGGCCCTTAATATTTCAAGGATTTATTCAGTCATATCTTTAATACAAAAGTAGAGGCTGAGGAAAAGCCAGAGTAGTCTATACACAATGCACAATCTGTGTACATTCTCAAGCCATACCTCTTCAAGAACTATTTATACACTCTTCAAACAAATCCCTTTATCCAGCAATTCAAAATACTTTAGATCAGAAGTTTTATATTAGAATCAATACATTATATGCATAAATACATTTATACCCTTCGGTTGCTAAACAACCCAGATGGCTGCGAGGACATAACCTGAACTGGTTCTCCATTGGTTTGGGATACCAAATTGTATTGGCAGCTAACTGTTAACCAAAATAGTCACAGTAAAAAATGGAGATCTTTGCACAAGGTAGATGTGCCACAGCATCAGTTAAGACTAGAAATACTAGGTGAAACCCTGGCCCCTTCAGTAGGGCCAGGATTTCAACTTCTGTGAGATGCAACACACGGGCAACATTTTTTTCCTCTGCCGATGCCCCATTCATGAAAAGTCTCAGCAGAACAACAAGAACCTGCCCCCCCCCGCCCCGAAAACAACAGACCAAAGCAAAGCTTTTACAAGACAGGTGCTGCAGCTTTCAAGAACAAAGTAAAAGTTTTATAATTAAAAAATAAAAATAAAAAAACCCAAAAACTAATGTGCAAGTGTGTAGTTCAGAAGACGATAGCAAGGATCAATATAGACCTCAGTTCAAGCTGAAACGGTATCCAAAAAATAGTTCTCACTGCAAATCTGATACTCAGTTAATGAGCGCGCTTATATATACTTCTACACACACCTGCCGTACACACGCACCCCTCCTTGCCCAGTACAACCTGCAGCACCATCAGCAGCAACCACCACAATGCTTCCAAAGCCCACGCGGGCCCCAGCCCTGACGCTGCATCGGAGCGGTCAGACCCCCCAGCTCTCATGGACGCGGCAGCAGGATGGTTCTTAGCCATCAGCACGGGCTCACCACATATCAATGAGTATTTCAGGACTATTCAAAGCAGTAAGCACTGGTGCAGCAAGAAGTGTTCTCAACTCTGTTTCTTAAAGGATACAGAAACGTTGACTCTCTTGAGTATCCTCCAAAGGTGCTAGAAGTTTTAAGTTTGAAGCGTTTCTTTCCACAATGCCAGGTATACAAATGTGTATCTTTTTAAATAATATTGCACATAAAAATAATCTTAAATTTTGTAGTGAAAGCAGGGTCGAAGGACAGTGTTTTCCAAAACAGATTAAAAAGCTACCTGTACATAGTAAGTTTTAATTTAAAGAACGCCAAGATTATCCAAAATCTAAGCACATAATACTGACAGAAAAAATGTTAAATTGCACAATCTACATATAAATTACATTTGTAAATACTTAAAAAGTTTTTAAACATTGAATACCCTTGATTTCACAAATCAGCTAGGTCACTGTCAAAGGATCAGCTTAATGAGTTAGAAGTACTTTCCCCCAGAAAAAAATGGAAACAAAAAGATCTGCAGTCTTAGACGAAGCACTGGAAAGAGTTAAAGCATTTCAGCTCAGAGGTAGTGCTAAACACATCCAACTAGAAGTCCATTATATTTGAACTATGATGAAATAACGTAGTAAAATGTAGAAAGACTATAAAATTTACAAAAATAAATAGTTCTGAATGCTTTAGAAAATGCAAGAGACTTCGCCGATAAGTGTCTTGATCTGCTTTTCTGACCAAAAGAAAGCAAAGTGTGTCTCATTTTTAAAATATACCCATCTCTAGTAATGCGTCTGCAATGCACGCAATCCAACTATGCAACTTGACATATGCCAACTTGGCATAGACTCTGATATTAAAAATAAAGTGGAGGCTTTGTAAAAGATCATCTCATATGAAATTTGTTTTGCATGTAAATTCTTCTGACAAATTAAAAATTGCACATAAAAAAGTTTATTGAAAGAGGCATGAGGGGTGATAAGGGTATGTGCCTATTGTTCCACATACACCCTGGAAGGAAAAAGATGATTGCACAGTTCTGATAAATAAATATTTCTTCTTTTAAAAAAAAATCTGCCACTTTTTTGGTTTGTAAGTTTTGGAATTATTTAGAAAATCCCACTACAGACAAATTTTTTTAGTTTGTGTTTTAAAGAATTCTTTACAACTTTTCCAGTGGCTTTTATCCTGAAACCAAATGAAAGTGGCAGTTAAAAAGTATCTTTGGGTAAAACAAGTATCAGGATCCAACGAGAATTTCCATGATGTGGTCCAACTCACTCAGATCTGTTCTACATATCTGAATGTTGTTTGCTGAAGAAGAATTACAAGATGGAAAGGTTTTCAATGGTTCTTCTGTAGCAAGAGATGGTGGTCTGGGCGGCATTAGTGGAGGGCAACAAAAGTCTGAATCATACATTGAAGTGTCAATATCTTCAAAAATGTCATCTATTGCCAAATCCTTCAAGTAACTAGTTGAATTTGAAATCTCAAAGGAACCAAACACACATTCAGTTCCCTTCAAATCCTGTCTATCATCTTCTAATTTTAGACCAGTATTTTCTGGAAACTTTGGCTGGTCATCTCCAGTAGGAACCAGACAAGTAGGCGGGCTTATGTCTTCTACAAAGTCTAAATCCTTCAGAATAGATGAAATAGCAGATGACATATCATCATCTGAAACTATCAGCAGGCTATTTTCAATTGGGTCTTCTACAGACCGCAAGTCGCAACAGTTAGACTCTTGCTGACTAATACCTGAAGGCAACTGAAGAGAAATCCCGGATGACTCCATCCCTGTGTAGCTGTGAGAACTAGGAGTAATGCCAGGGCAGACATTAACTGGCTGCTGATTACTCTCTTGTCTCATTTCCTCTTGAATTTGCCGTACTGTGTTGGCTATGAGGACAGAGCGGTGCAAGTTCGGTTCCACCAGCATTTTGTACGTCTGTAACTTGGTGAGGCACATATTAAGCACCAACTGCCTCTTAAGCGGATATGGCAGATTTCGACTGGAATCAAAGGCACTCGAGAGACCAGCCATGTTCTCCTCATAGTCACTCAGCTTGCGTTTTAGACCTCTCCCCAACATGAACCTGAAAGAGAGAAATTGTGAATTAACCATGGGCAAGACTATCAATTCTTCTGCAAGATCTCAACAGACGCTTCTGAAAAGTCTGTAGCATACAACGTATTGGTTAACTTAGACTCTAATGCCATAGAACATTGAAAGACAGAATAAAATCCTACACAAGATACTACTTTCATTGTGAAGATGCACTTTCCAGCTCTATTGTTTCACAACCATTTTTTTTTTTAAACAGAAAACATAAAAGAAATACAGCAACTATTTTTGTAAAAAGCTATGTACTTCTAAGTTTTGGTTTTAAGGTTTACTTTTAACTCTACTGTGAGAATATGAATTTACTTATTTAAAATCTTTAATAGGTGAGCTTTTTAGCCTCTATCCATTTAAATTATATAGCATACAAAAATTCATTAATGAGAAATATCTGAATGTCCACATGAAATAAAATAGATGCTTATACTAAGGATTATAGTAACTATACAGAGTATTTCAACATTTTCATTTTAGCATTCGTTCCTAGGTACAGCAGGTAAGATTTTAAAGCTAGTTTCAATACCCATTTTTATCTCATTAAGGTATTCTTAATGTCTTGCTCATTGTCTCTGAGAACTCTCCATAGAACTCATTTCTCTCACTCTTCTTCGGTGACTTAAAAGTTGTTTTACTGCAGTTGAACCACCCAGCAAGACCAACAACAGGGCCTCCCATGGGATCCTTATATCCATTCCGTAGCTTAGTAGTGTAGCTCAATGGCGGGAGGAAATTTGGCTGGGCCACAGAGCTCACAGAATGATGATCGGTGATTGTGGCTGCTGGTTCACAACCTGCTACTGACTTAACACTAAGGACATCCAGCAGAAGGTTATCAAATGGCATTTTAAAAGTGACCAATTTTGGTAAATAGCTAAAAGAAAAGAAATAGAATTTAGTTGCTTTCAGTCTGCTTTGTGTGCTTTTGCATTGAAATATCGTAGATCTAGAACACTGTGGTACAGAAAACTGTATGCACACACACCTAAAATACACGTGATCCAAACAAATACATGCTTGGATAGTTTGCAATTACCATTCAAAATACAAAGTGTTTTCTTAGGGACAAGCAGCACTATGCAATCACTTGTATGAACACAGAAAAGGAGTATACCATGCACAGGAAACACTGGTAAAATATTGATTACACACATCTTGATGTGTCCATGGAATAGAGACACCTCACTCCCAAACAATTAAAAAAAAATTAAGCAATGATAAATTAGACACCCCTTGGCATTTTAAGGGCAGATCCTTCATAGACAATGATCTAGACCCTGCATGCTGCAGAGGGCCTCCCAACTTCCTTTTCATGTGAGCACTGGATACTGCCAGCAATAGCTCAGCTGATTGCCACAGCTGCCAGCTGGTAGTCTGTTGCTAGACTTTTGGGGACAAGGAGAAGGCAGCAGGATAAAGCCTCTTTTACTTTTGGGATTTCTCCAGATTTGCAGGAAACACTGCAGGGCTCCATGGCTACATCCATCTGCCTAGACAAGGCTGTTGGAGAACTCAGCTCCCCTGGAGGAACAGAAAGCAAGCAAGCAGTGCATACTTCTCAGTAAGACACACAGGAAAAACCAGACAGTTGGTAGAGATTAAGTTTAAGACTTCTCAATCATACCCACTTTTTCTTTTAGGGACATACCTGGATGAAAACAGATTTGTCGTAAGAATGCATTTTTACATAACAGGTAGTAGTTTGGCCTATAGTTCAGTTTACTAACACGTTCACTATTTAAAAAAAACAACGAAAAACTTTAATTACTTGTAATTTTACCACTGCTGCAATTTTTTAACTTTGGAAATCTGTTTTACTCCAAAGTTTTCTGCTAAACTGCCACAGCACCAGCTGAATCTCTTTAAAAACCATGAGGTGTCTGGATGTGGTGTGCCTATTCACCTAGGTGATCTTCCCACTCTTACCACGTATCGCTCCCCCATCCCAGCACTCCATTTAGAGGAAACAGAATCAGACAGTACTGAGCACCCAATTACAAGCAAAATTAGCAGAAATCTGGATACAAAGTTCAGGCACCAAATATAATAACAAGAAGTATTGGGGGGGGCAGTGTGTGTGTGTGTCAGGCATCCTCAGTCAGACTATCAACAACACCATCAGCAACCAGTAATTTTAGACACAATCTACAGACAATCACGATTATGCACGACTTTACAGTAAAACTGTTGCTAAATATACCAACTCATAACATATCATGAAGACAGTTAGTGTCTCCAAATCATAGAAAACTTCCCATTTTAAGTAGCATTTTAATGTTGTGTACTACCTAAGGCATTACTCCATACCATTACTACAAAGAATAAAAATATACATCAAAATGGCTATTTGTTCACTAAGCACCATCCTTCCCATACACTGCACACTATTATTTTTTTGGTTGTGGGTTTTTTCTGGGTTTTTTGCTTGTTTGTTTGCTTGTTTTGGGGAGGGGGATGGGGTTTTTTTCTTTTTTTCTCTCCACTAATTAAAGCAGACCAAAAGTCACACTCACAAGGGAACAAAATTAAGACCATACAGGGAACAGTAATTCTGACATTTTATACATTCAGAAGGCTTGGTTTTGACAATTTACTCCTTTTAATATATTTCAAAATATATATTTACACTTTGTTAGACACACAGGAAATACTAGACTTATCTATTTGAATTATATAAATAATGTTAATTTCTAACATCTCAAAAATGTGCTAGTATTTAAATTCTGTAAGGAAGCTTAAAGAGCAAGCAAACTACCATATGCGAGGATACATAAGTTCACAAAAACAACTTTAAATGAAACGTTTAACTTTTAAACTCATGCAGTAGTCTAATTAGACTAAATATTTCATGCTCATATACAGACACCCTCCTTTTCATTCCTCAAATTTCCTTCATAAAATTTGTCCTAAAACATTCTATAAAAATGTAACGAAGCTTGAGCATAACAGCACTCTGAACTATAAAAGTGAAGTGCAAGAAACCTTATTTGCTCCAACTTCAAATGTTTCTACTTAACAGACTCCTCACTCTCTAGAAGTCAAAGATTTTTTTTTTTTTAATACACAAACATAGTCCTACCTTATGTTTTAGAAATTCTGCCTGTTTAGTATGATTTTTGCGTAATTGCAAGGATCCCTAAGTCTCCCTCCATGAGCTAGATGACTTCAGACGTTACATAAAAATTTGGAAAAGGCTAATGAAAACCAGAGTATCACTGGTACAGTGGATTTAAAAATGACTAGTGTCATGGTTGCTACAGGAGACATTAAATTTCAGTTCTTGACAAACACACTCAGCTGCTGACCTACAAAAGATACAAAGCCCCTTTGTTACCAGCTAATCTACATTTTATCAGGCCTTTTGCTTTACTTTCTAGCAGAAGAATTTCTGACAGTCATATCCTTAACAAACTAGTCCATATTTTCTAAGTAACTTGTCCTTTTGTAGCATTGTGTATTAACACACACATCCCAAACCCAAAATTCACACACAGTCAAATGCTCTCTTTTGATAGCATTACTTGTAATATAAGATGTTGATCACATTATTTGATTATGCAGTGCTCCCCCACTTCAATTTCTGGTACTAAGGAAAACAAATAGAAGTCCACACAAAAATCCACGCTACCATGCCCAGACAATCCTGTCTTACTGAGTGACTGCTGCACAGTTGTCAGTCCTTTCAGTCAGTTGACAGAATGGCACAGCCAGTTCAAAGAAGCACAAGTTGGACATACTAAAACACAAAGTGTCTAGAAACGGCATTCTCCTTACCCCAGCCTAATTCCAGGAACCTACTCAGATCTCAAAAAACTGGGTCAAGTAACAGGATTTTGGAATGTGCCAATCTGATAACTCCATAATTTTTAAGTAAATAAACTGAACAAAAATTAAAGTTTATGCCAACTTCAAATGTGAGGTCTATACATAGCTGTTCAATAATAAAAGAAGCAAGCTGTAAGTCACCCTTCTTTTGAACTTTGAGAAAAAGTTCAACAACCGAATTTTTTTGAGTTCAGATGCTCTATTTCAGACTCTTTTGTCATGAAAAAACCAAGAACAATGAGGAACACCACATCTCAATAATTTTCTTCTGGCATTTTCCTCTCATTACAGTAATGCAAACTGAGCCACAAGCCACTTGTGGCAGAATGTTTTTTAATTAAAATTATTTTGCAGATATAGAGAAAAGGAAGCAAAGTGAACTCAATGTTTAGGAGTGCCAAACTCTCCATCCACATCACTGAACTACAAAGGAGTCTGTACATTGAAATCCTGCCCCTGACAGCACGTTCCTCAGTTCCTTCCAGTTCCATGGAGGACATTTCATAGAAACTCCTCCCTGGTAAGATGGGAAGAAGCATCCATGGCACTGTAATCCTACACCACACCAGGGTTTGAAAAAACTTGGAGGGAAGAGGCACATCCCTGGTTGGCAAATCCACACAGAATACCAAACAAACAGGCTTGGTCAGAGTGTGCAGCTACTCAGAAGAAATGTTCCAGGCTACCAAGAAAAATTCACATTGCGATGCATTGTGGACAATACAGGACTCGTGCCACCATTTCAGAGGAAAAACACAGCTCCATCTGTCACAGGGTCTGATAGTGCAGCACAGCTGCCACTGACACATGGTTAGTAAGTACAGCTGGAAACAGTCACAAAGAGGAATGCAACACGTGAAAACCCTCAATTACTTCTATGTGGGCAAACTACTTCTTAATTTCCTCTTCCTCACCTTCCAAAAAAGATTTTAAGAGCAAGTTAAACAATGTTTAGAACTCAGAACCCCACACAGCTTTAATTTTCTGTAAAGAAAAGCTTCAAAAACCATGAATATATAAAACACAACTGCCACAGTTAGTATTGTCTGAACACGAACTTTTCGTGCACAAAACAAGCAGTATAATCAACTACACAGAGTTATTCGTTTACCATTGAAGAGTATGTTTAAATAGCAAGATCATCAATAAAGTACTTGGTCTGCACTACACAGGCCAAAATCATTTCATTGATAGTGGTCCCCTCTGGCTTTTCTTTTTAGGATATTATTAAATTCAGACTTGCTTGATCCTTTTCATACAGCCACAGTGTTGCATTTTTCACCCAAAGACTGTCTCAAAGTCATCAATTACTTTTTCTCATAGGATAGAAATAGCAGATTTGAAGAGGTGTAAGCACCTCATGAGTGAAAGCTGCCTGTCTAGTTTTCAGTAATGCAACTTAAGAATTAAAGCCAAAATTAGAGACTCCTTGCTATTGTAATTTGGGTAATTCCCTTTCAAAGTCTCCTTTGGCTCATAACTGTAGAAAGCACGTAACAGGAAAAACAGAGAGAAGTCTCTTTGCATTGTAAACTTGTGTTAGTGACTGACCGAAGCTCATCGATAACCTGATTCCCTGCTCTCCCCTCTCTTCCACGGACACTCATTTCACAAGCACACACCTATCTGCAGGCAGTGCAAAGGAAGACATCCCTACAGATATCATTATTTCCCAGAATTATTTGATGTATGCTGCATACTATTTTTAATTCTAATCTTTCCCCTACCCGACATACATTTTAGCTTAGGCAACACAATTTCATTAATAGTTTTAATTAAGTGGTGGACTGACTCTTGACTAGTATTCCATGTATAAGAAGCTGCACAAGAAAAAGGTAAGGCTGAAGGTACAGTTAACAGACACAGTATAAATCCTTTCCTCCCATCTGGACTTAACACTGATCACTTAAACATGACTTACGTAACACTGTAAGCTGTCAGACTACACAGAACAGCCTATCTGATCTGGTGTCCTCAGCAAGTGTTGAGATTCCCATAACATCACATCATGGCTGTTAGCAAAAATTAAGAGGAAGTGAGGGAAGGAGGATTAAACACCTTAGAAAACACTGAAGTAAAAAGTAATTTGGACCTGAAGACACTCTAAAATACACAAAAAAGTATTTAAGTCCATTGCCTCCCCACCCCCCAGCGCTGCCCCAGTTTAGCCAAGATGAGTAACTGCTGGAGAAGGCACAAGTGGCTAAAAGTGTGCATACAGGGAGGAGTGCAGTCCTACCAGCTTACTCTCATACCTAAACTCCTATGTAACAACTTCTTTACAGGAGTTAGAAATGACCAGAAAATAGCTGCTCAAAGAAGGGAGAATTAATGTCAACATTTTGGTCACCAAATCCTGACCTACAATACACCCAAGTCTGTTACTACTAAAGCAACTGGAACACAGAACCAAGATAGGCTGCTGTTCAGACTTCAAAAAAAAACAAACCCCAAAACCACACAGAAAAAACCCCACATCTATGGATGTACCTAACATCCATCCCTGCATTTTGAAAATAAGAATAGGCTGAATGGTATTCATTAAGTAGAGGAAAAGAATGAGAGGGAGACCAAGTCTAGCACAGAATTAGTCTGGAATTCATAACCTTCCCACTGTCACTTCACTATTTGTGGACACAGAGGATAAATATGTATCATACACTAATATTTTAGGAGCTGAAATGATGTGTACAAAGTACTCAGGAGTAATTTTTGCCTTGCTTTAAAAGTTAGTTCGAACCCCTCCCCCCCCAACCCATTTATGTTATGTCTAATGGGATGTGGAAAATTCCTGCACTTAAAGGACATCTTCCTAAGTTCCTTACTCCACATTTTATTTCATGAAGCACTAGTAAGAGCTTTGCTTTACAAACTACTGCAGCTAAGTTTCAGAGCACAACATTTCACTCTGGAGAAGAAACTCCTCTGTTAGGATGTGTACCTTCCACCAGCTAAAACAAGTGGATCTGGGCTGTTTACAACAGTAGATGAACGGTATTCTCAGCAGCTGACATCTATCACTAGAGGCTAATATAGAAAGCTGCTGAGGCAGTACCAGTGTTTGGTAGAGAAAAACTTCCACCCTTAAAAGAAAACAAGCTAAACCACTGTCGCTCTTCTCCTTCCTCTCCCCCTCTACACTTGTGAATTTAGTTCCACATTTACAAATAAAGCTCACAGGTGTATGTTTTTAATGTGAGCATGTTTAGCGGATTTTTTTCCAAGAATTTTGGATGGACTTTTTTTTTAGCGGAAGAAGGGTCCGGAATCATTTAAACTAAGGATCAATAGTAGCTAGCAAAAGCTAACACATGATCAAGAGTTACTAAATCTAGAAACTCCCATAGTAAAACTAAACTGTAATTAAATGAGAACATAGAGGAACCCAAACAACAAGAACCAAACCACCAGGGTTCCACTAAAGTATCTCACTGGAGGGACAAATGACCACTAGAACTGCAAATGTGATGACAGACCTCTTCACAGCTTGTTCTAATCAACTGAACAGTTCTCAATCCATTTTCTTTACAATGTCTATTTACTTCAAATACAGAGATACTGGATGTATTCACCTACATAACACTGACATGTATTTCAGGGTTACAGTGATCTAAATAAAGGTCCAATAATAACAAAAGTTATAGCTTATTAACTGTATCAAATCAGTATGCCCATACTTCTAACAGAAAAATCGGACCATTAATAGTAAAAGCAACCAAGGAAAAAAAAAAAGCTCTCTTTTCCTGATAGAGGACCATGCATTTACTCTAGCTCTCTGTATGGGATATTCAGGTAAATAATGTTCAATAACCAAATCAGAAATCACTTTAAATTTTCTGTAACAAAGTAGCACACAACAACTTTTCTTCAGTATCCAAAGTGCTTTCTCCTCACAGGACAAGACTGTAAGACTCAATTTCAGCAGCTGAACAGTGGACCTCACTGTAAGACTGAGGTCTTAGTTAAGACATTTCTAAGAAATGTGATCTTATGGCAATATTAAATTATTTGTTAGTTATAGTACTTCCTCATTATAAAGGAAAAAAAACAGTAATGCAAATTCAGAATGTTCAAATCAAAGAGCTTATACTATTCAGTAAGCCTAAAGCACTTCACTTTATATTATATACCCCGTTTTTAAAAATTGTTTTTCAGTTTACCACTCTAACCCACAAAAATAACATCTACAGCTGATTATCAGAACATGTGCTATGCACATAAGATATGATTTCATAAAAATATACAAGTAGTTACCCTTAGAAAACAGAAAGGAGTCCAGGCAGGAAGATTCCAGATTTTGCATAAAGTGTGGTCATCCAAGAGTCCTGAACTATTCAAGAGGCCAAGCCATCCACCGAGGTAGGATGATGTGACTTAAGGGGAAAAACAAAACAAAAACAAACAACAGAGTATTTCATTACTATGTGAATTTTTTTTTAAACCAGAAGTATTAAGCACACAATTCAATACAACTCATTAAACAATCTGTGCTAAATCTCATTAAAACAGTTAAACTGAATAAGAAAAACTGAAGTTCATGAACACATTGAAATAAGAGGACCTAATAGTTTAATCTATGAACACATAAAACATGGAAATATCTTTCATAAATGAATACTACAGAATAGAACGCTGATCCTCTTAAGTGTTCGGCCTTAGGGTAAGAACTTGCATTGATACTTCTTCAGGCTACTGAACACCAATTTACAGTTGTAATCATCTCAGAAATCACGTATCAGGAGAGACAATACCATGAACTGTAAGGAAGTACATTTCAGAATTATCCCCTAACATTTACAAGCTGCCAAAGGAGTTAGATTTTTATTAAACACTCTAACTGTCCTCATTTTCAGCATACACAAAACCAGTATGAGAAGATAGCTGGCAGGATGTCCTATGATTGCATATAATATTCAGTGTGGCATCATTTTCATCAAAACCCTGATAAAGCAATATCTGCGGTTTGGCTAGAGATCACATGGATTAAATCAAGGCACTGGAAACTCTGGGAAATGTGAAAAGGCTGAAGTGACAGTAAACTATAGACTAGGCTAGATGTGGAAGGAATTGCATGATCCATGCTCTTGAGGTCTGAACTCCACCTGAAGAATAAAAGTTTTTTAATTCCAAGAATTAAAGCCTTATATAGGCTAACAGCCTACTATCTGGATTGCATTTAACATGTTTGTGTGTGTACCATATATACACATACACACGCAGACACCTGCCCCCCAACTACAGCAAATCAATTACTTCACAAATTTACCGCAAGAGCAAGGATCAGTACTTACCCACATAAATACAGTCCTTCATGATCAAGGATCAAGAGTTCATACGTTATTTTACAAATCTTAAAATAATACATAGCGAAAGGCAGTCTTACATTTAGACAGATGGACAAGTAAATGAGTACAGTTCATCTCACATAGCAACTCATAGCCTGATGCTAGCAAAGGGCTCCTCTATTTACGGAATCTCAGAACTGTAAAGATGTAGTAAAACAGCAGTAAAATGCCCGTGACCTAAGAACGCCAAATCTAACCCACAGCAATAAACACATTAATATCTCCCTCCTCCTTCGAGAAGCAGGCTTCTTTCCTACCATAAGGAGATCCATGCTATTTGTAAATACAAAATAAAAACAAATAGACAAATGAAGATTCATAACGTATTTTCTTTGAAACAGCAGGACTTCAGAAGGGCACTACTGAGGTTTATTAAAGCGTACTTGTTAGGTCACAGGGGGAGGTGTACCTTCATTGCATTTTTTATACAATGAATATAAAAGAACAAATATTTTAGAATGTTAAGTCTTTTTAGCATTAAAGAATCCTAAAAAAGCTAACAGGTGTACTAAAATGTTGGAAAGTTTTAGACTTCAGCACCTTAGTTAAAAAAAAAGCTAAAAGCATTTGATAAAAAATTAATAGTTAATTGTATTTTAGAAGTCCAACCTTGTGCTAGAAGGAGCTGAAGTCCAAGAAGTTAACAAATTTAATTCCTTTATATTATATACTTTAAAGGACTCGCTGTGAAATTAACTGTTGACGTTATGATTTTTCTCCTATACGATTTCACACTGGGACAAATGTCAGGAAGAAGTACAGAGATAAGGTTACTAGGTTTAGTTTTTACAACCTGTTAAAAAAAAAAAAAAAATGACACACAGTAGTTGTAAATCACTATGAATTATATGTGCAGCAGATTTTTTTTTTCATTTTCTTTCACTGTCTTCCCTCGCAGTTTCCTAGTACCTGCTTACAGGCCACTTTAGAAATTTGAGATTATAGCATTAATTTCAATGTTAATGGCATTTTCCATATTGCAGTTAACTGCCTGAACGAAAGAATCTTAGCTGAATCAAAAACAAAGTAGAAGACTGCTGCACAGGGCTCCTACCTATGTTTTTGAAAATGAACAGTTCCAACATATTTTGAAAAATTCCAGGCCTATCTAGGGCAGAAATTATTAACTGCATCTATTAATGAGATGAATTTATGATATGCATGGAAGAGACCAAGCTTATGCTCCTCCAGTCTTACCCACCTACTTGTAGTTCAGACTAACAGACACGTTTATTGAGACAAACTATTAAAGATGTAACTGCAGCAAATACACAAGTCGCAACTACCAAGAGGCAGCGATCACGAGTGCCAGAATTAAAAAGCTGCGATTCAGGGAAAGCGTCTTTCCTGCCACCCCCCCCTGCAGCCTCTCCTGCGAGTGCACAAGTACTAATAACCCCCAAGGGAGCCTGCCACCATTTGGCCTTTGTGGAAGGAGACTAGTTGGTACTTCCTGCAGGCGGCCGCCCGCGCCTCCCCCCGCAGCGGCGGGCAGCAGTAACCAGAGACAACCTTGGGCTTCCCGAGCTGCGAAAAGTTACACTCCTCCCCCTTCCTCCTCCGCAGTTTACCAGAGACC